AAAGAAACTGCTTATTCACCCATCAACACACAATAAATACTGGGAAGAAATACTTCAGAACTAAATAAACAGTCCTGTTGTCCTCGAATTTGACTAGAAATGGCCTTTCTTGAAGCACAGCCATTACCTTAATCACTGCACGGGATTTCTTTTAAGAACACAAGACCAAACCAAGCCATTCTATTAAGCTGTTTACAGACACTGCTATGTATTTGTTYGGTTTTGGATAAAAAAACTCCCCATGCAAGAATCCAAGAAAAGAGAAGAAAGAAAAAAAAGAAAAATCTAACAGGCTAAATTTATTTTAAGAAGGAGAGAAATTGGCKTTTTTCTTTGTAAAAGGGAAAGGAGCAGTGGTGTCTTCTCAAAAGGAAATTTAAACAAATCTGAAGAAATAAGAGAAGCATTTCAGACAGAAGAATGAAGAACTTTCTCATTATCTGGAACCTTCCTCTTCCTTTTTTTTTAAGCAATTACACATACGTAGAAGTTATTTTAACATAGAAAATGCAAAAAAAAAAAACCTCGCAGCACTAATACTTTAGCTTCCAATGTCAAAAAAGAAASACATTTGAAAGATTTTTGGCATCTGTACACGGGAACAGGGCTAGCAAAACAAAAATCAAGAAAAGTGGTTTATAGAGGGAGGGTTAAACTTTCACTCTACAGAAGATACTTGTAGCTTTCTTCTCTTTTTCATATGCAAGTRCAGTTTTATTTCATATCAAAACATTAACTAGCAAGCTCCCCGACACCAAGAAGCCTGAGCCCCATKCAGTCTTCCAGCTTCCCTCCTAAACACGAAGTGCTAGACAAAAAAGAGCCCCTTCACCTTCAAACTCCTCCAACGCCCGATTTAAGGCATATCTACGTGAGAGATTTGGTGAGGGAGTAAGAATGTGAATTTTCAGGGCACCCCGGTCTTCGCACYGCGTGTAAGGGGGCAGTTACCGTCAGCCACAGCGGGTCAGTCACCAAAAGCAGCTTCACAGCAACTGAGAAAAGCCTCAAGGGGCACTTACTGCATGGTAGCGGAGAAGGTAAAACTCCTATCCCTGCTTCCTCCGTAGCTACTTCCTCATAAAATTAGTCAGTTAAATCAAAGTGAAGCCTTTTAACAGCTCCTTTTTTTTCTTGGCAGGAATCTAGCTTAAAAAAAAGATCTTCTGAAATATTTATCCTATTCACCAGGCACTGTAATTACTTCAGTATCATATTTAATTTGAGGGTTGTCCTCCTTCCAAGGACCTCGAACTGCTTCTAACAAGCAGGATGGTCTCACATCCCAGCGAGGAAGCGAATGAACTTTTACACAGCAGGAAAACACGCGCGCAAAACTGCTGAAAATCCAACCAAAGTTGGAACAGGAAACCTGTGGCAGAGCTGTAATAAATTCCTTCCTGCAAACGCGCTCACCAAAACAAAAACGCCAGAGTCTAGTGGGAGCAAAAACACTTTAGAGGCCAGCCCTGGCCTGCAAAGAGGGTCAAAGAAACGATAAACAAACTGGGGCAAAGACGATGCTGTCCTGCCAGGCTCGTCCTCGCTGCCAGGTCTGCAGGCAGCGATGCCCGTGGAGCTGCAGCCTGCGAGGCCCCGGGTGCCCAAGTCATCCCCWTTTGCAGCAGCACCTGCTCCAGCTGCCACGGAAGTGCTGTAATAACGTGGATGCCGTGAAGTCCTAGAGCTAAAATTGTTTTTTCTCTAAAGTTCAAAATTCACCTTGGCTCTCACTACAGTCTATGGTCACAGCACTGAAAATCTGAACGACAGCAGAGGGTCAGGCAACACCAGCCAGAAAAACCCTCAAAGTCTCCAAATACCTTTTTTTTTTTTTTTTTTTTTTTTGGTATTTCCTTAGAGCTCAACTTGGACTGTGTAATTCACGGGGTCTTGCCCCAGAGCCCGAGCTGACAGGCAGCCTCCAGCTCTGTGACATCTGGGAGCAGGAAGGAGGACCCAACAGCTGAGGCAGCTGCTGCTCTGGCAGACAGATGCAGGGCTGGGATCATAAAGCGCTTTCCTCCTGACCCTCTGCTCCCAGCCAAGATCCCTGGAGAATGCAAAGAGTCTGAGCTATCTAAACTATGATATCTCAAGTCCTGTAAGCTGAACTACATGCTAACCACCAGAAACGTGCAAAATGYGCTCTTTGCAGAAGTGAGAGGACTTCCAAGTATTTCATGTGCCCTCTGCCCTTATTGTCTCTAAGTGCAAGACAAAACTGGCAGGCAGAAATGCAGTTATTACTAATCTAGCACTTGCGGTAAACGATAGGTTCTGGGGCCAGGCTATTTTGAGCGGTGGCCAGYGACAGGACAAGAGGCAACAGCCACAAACTGAAGCACAGGAAGCCCCATCTGAACATGAGGTGGAACTTCCTCACTGTGAGGGTGCCAGAGCCCTGGCACAGGCTGCCCAGGGAGGCTGTGGAGTCTCCTTCTCTGGAGATCTCCCAAACCCGCCTGGATGCCGCCCTGTGCCCCGTGCTCTGGGTGTCCCTGCTGGAGCAGGGGGTTGGACCAGACAGTCTCCAAGAGGTCCCTTCCAACCCCGACCCTTGGGTGCTTCTGCACTGCTACCGACTCATCACTGCCTCTAATTTTGAGGGAAAAGGGCAGCCACTTTCCCATGTGCTTCCCTTGGGTGGCAGCAGTGCTTCCTTGAGAGAGGAAAACCTGTCACCTCCCACTCGCCTGCCCAGCAGCTGCCAAAGGAAAAGCTGCCAGCGGGGAAGAAGTGCAGGCAAGGGCACTGCCGCAGGGATTCTCTGCCCAAAGCAGCCAATAAACATTTTTAAGTAGCACCAGGGCTTAGCTGAAGTTCTCCAAATCCAACAGCACAGAGCCAAATATCTTAAAGCTTGAGCTACTAAAAGCAAAACGTGCAGAGTTTCCCTCCTAGCTAGCACGGGAACTTTGCCAGAATGACAGCTCCCAAAGACYTCAAACCTTCCTGAGCTGCTAATGCAGATGCTTCAGCACATAGAAGTACAGAAATGCAGCAGCATGCAAATTTAAGCAGCACTTAACTGTATCAGCCTAATCTAACCTCAGAAAAGGGGTCTGCAATTCTCCTTTGCCTACAAACTCCAACAATTAAAGAGAAAATGAGTCTCAGTCATAACTAATCACTGAAATACAATACAAAATTAAAGCCTGCCACCTTGGGGTTTTCGTATTTTTCTTCTGCAGGTGGAAACCCCCCTGCTGCTGATGCTATTTCTAGAATTATATAAAAACATGTGTTTCTTGGACTGAAAGGAGGAGGTGCAAGAACTGCTCTGGACAAACTGAAAGTCTGCTGAAAAGCTGCAAGGGCTGGAGCGAGCCCCAGGCTCAGCCAGGCAGCACGAGCATAGATTGACATATGTATGTATATTTTATATATATACATATGACATGTTAGACCTGAAACAGTCTGCTAAGCTCATATTTTCATGTCTTGCTGACAGATGGAAAATGGGCTTTGCTTTAGCACAGATCTCAAGCCTAACTTCAAAGCTTATGTATTTCTTGCTGGTACGGACATCTAAACAAAATTGAAATATCTTGATTTCACCTTAAAAAAAAAAAAAAAAAAAAGGTGAAAGGTCTCCACAGACAAAATTCCCATTCTTACATGTTCCTGAATCCCGTTTGACACATCTTACATTAGGAAACTATGCCAGAATCATGTGAAGGGCTAGATTTTTTTTTGCCTAACAGAGCCTTGCTTATGTACAACTGATTAAAATATAGTTCAAAAGAACCCTGCCACCCAGCCAGATATAAAGACATTTGTTATTCTAAGACTTTGAAATATACTAGTTTTAGTGCCAGAAGTAAAGGAGCCTATCCAAGCCAATGCTAAATAAATGAGTTTGTATAAACTGAGATTTATCTCATGCCTTCCCCTAAAGGGAGCAAGAGATCCTTTTTTTTCTAAATTTACTTAACAATTTAATTAGTTACAACATGTTTTCACTGCACTAATCAGTGACTAATGGAAATATTTCGTACATCTGCAATAACTGGCTTCTTTAAATCATCAGAGCCAGCTGCTCAGTGCAGTATTTACTTTGGTAAGTTATGTTCATTTTGGGCTTTCTGAATCAAAGAAAATGCTTTTTCTACTACAGAATTTCAAAACCGAAGCTGAAACGTTATGCAAATAGTACCACCTAACTGACTGGAAAGATTCTGAGCTATAAATTTCTAATATTAAATACACGTAAAATTTCTTCCCCCAGTGCAATATATTTTTAAATATATATTTGGGGAATAACCCAGAGCAACCTACAGGTTTAAAATCTTTACGGCTCTGCCACTGAGTAAATGAGGCAATTTCATCGGAAATAAAATACTTTGTGTTGAACTGTCCCCCATAAGGTATGCATTGGTGCACTGAGGGAATCAAGACAGAACCACCTAGCTAATTTCTGGTGCTTAATAGATGTTCTCTATTACAAGTGTACACATCTTTTCCCAAAGCTGCAAGGTAAGATAAAAAACAAATGTAAAATATAAAATTCTGTAGTTATTATTCACAAAAAAGGAGTTACTAAAACATCAACAAAGGATACTGCCATGAGATTGGCAAGCTCTGGTAAAAGCAGTGCTCACCACCAGCACCTCCAACCAGCACAGCAGGAGTTAACAGAAGGCAGCAGCAGCAGCAGGGCTGCTAGTGACCATTTGCAGCCTGCAAGGTACACAGTCCCAGCAGACACATTATCAGATTAGAGGAAGGCAAACAGAGTGAATTGAAACCAGGCTTCGGCAAAGTCCAACCTTTCCTGCCGTGATGTCACGGTACAAAGCGAGGGAGCGCGCGGCGGCGGCGCTGCAGAATGAGCCTCCGCGCTCCCTCGCGGGGCCGCCGTGCGCTGCAAGAGCCAACACGCCCTGGAATCTGGATCCTGGGCTTCCCGCCCCGTGGGGTGAGCGGGGAGCAGAGTTGAAGAGCTCGTTTGGCAGCGGCAGCGAGGCTGCGAGCGCAATGGAAGCGGCTGTGTCTCGCCGAGCCCGGGAAGGCCGTTCCTAACGCGCCCGTTGCCGGTTACTTGCACGGCTTTGGATGGTGAAGATCTCCTGGCATCACGATTCATGGGCAAGAATAAGGCAGAAAGTTCTACTGCAGCTTCAAATTGAAGAAGCAGCAAACAACATGGAATTAAGGAAGCTTTGGAATCACCTMATCGGCTACAAATAATGTGTTTTTTATTTTCCATGCCTGGCTACGTGATTGCAGTAGCATCTGGGAGAAAACAACGCTCTCCTGGTGACTACTGGAGAGGTACCTTGCTACTACACGGCGTGTGGTTCTTCTGTGAAGCCCGAAAGTGAAACAGAACATTATCGAAGCGCAGCAGTCAAACATCTGCGCATCTTCTGGGAATTTARAAAGCTACAATAAAACAGCCGAGAAAAGGACAATCACAGGAAGTCAGACTTGTATTCTGAACAGGCTATTATAATGGTAAGCTCTAACTGTTCCACTGAGGACTCCTTTAAATATACTTTATACGGATGTGTATTTAGCATGGTGTTTGTTCTCGGCCTCATAGCAAACTGCGTTGCCATCTACATCTTTACATTCACATTAAAAGTGCGAAACGAGACTACAACTTACATGCTTAACTTGGCAATATCTGATCTGCTTTTTGTGTTTACATTGCCCTTCAGGATTTATTACTTCGCAGTAAGAAACTGGCCCTTTGGAGACATTCTCTGCAAGATTTCGGTCACGCTGTTTTACACCAACATGTACGGCAGCATCTTGTTTTTGACGTGCATAAGCGTCGACCGCTTTCTGGCCATAGTTCACCCCTTTCAGTCGAAGACTCTTCGAACCAAAAGAAATGCAAAAATCGTCTGTGCTGCCGTGTGGATCACGGTGCTGGCAGGGAGCACCCCCGCGAGCTTTTTCCAGTCTACAAACCGCCGCAATAACACCGAGCAAAGAACGTGTTTCGAAAACTTTTCGGAGGCCACATGGAAAACCTACCTATCCAGGATTGTGATCTTCATCGAGATCGTGGGGTTCTTCATCCCGCTCATCTTGAACGTGACCTGCTCTACCATGGTCTTGCGGACTTTGAATAAGCCACTTACGTTAAGTCGGAATAAACTAAGCAAGAAAAAGGTACTTAAAATGATTTTTGTCCATTTGCTGATATTCTGCTTCTGTTTTGTGCCATATAACATTACCTTAATACTCTACTCCCTCATGAGAACACAGACCTTGATCAACTGCTCAGTGGTAACTGCAGTGAGGACCATGTACCCCATCACCCTGTGCATTGCTGTTTCTAACTGCTGCTTTGACCCTATCGTGTACTACTTCACATCAGACACGATACAGAACTCCATCAAAAAGAACAGGTCCACTAGGACCGGAGACACCAGGTTCTCCGAAATGCACGTTTCGGAAAACTTCATTCAGCACAGTCTCCAGACCATAAAAATGAAAATATTTGACAGTGACTCAACAGTATAAACTGGACAAGGTAAAAGGACTTGTTGGGACTAAACTGGAACTAAAAGCTGGCACATTTCCTCAGCTGTGAAAACAGATTTTGGTCTGTAAGTGTTACTCTTCCTACGCATCAGAAAAAAAAAAAATGTATGATAAATTTGTAAATAGTAGTTGTAAAGATGTTAATAGTATATATAATTGTACACAGAAAAAATATTGTAAACAAATCCTGACAAGTGTCTTGGGCTGGCTGCATGCCAGAAACAGCACACCTTGAGTTTCTGCTTAGGCTGTGGCAGCCCACAGAGCATTTGTCACATCAGAACCAAATAAAAACTGAGCTCTTTTTTCCAAAGTTAAATACTCATTTTTAGTAACTGTACTGCTTTCCATATGGCTGAGGACGAGGGTACGACCGGCTGCACCCTGGCTGGCAGACCCCAGTCATGGAGAACAGCCCCACAGGGCTCCTCTGGCCAGGCAGCTCCTCCCTCCTTTCCTACTCTTTCATTCCCACTTCCTCCTCCATTTTGGCAGCACGGGCAGGATTTGACCCATCTGGAGCATTTCCTAGTGCCACACACGGTGCTGGGCAACACTGGATCCCCCTCTGGCACCGCATCCCACTGCCTCACAGGGAGCAGCACAGGAGAGGCCGCCAGGGCCTTTTGCCTCAGGTRGCTCCCGTTTCCAAGCTGGGAAAAAGGCCCAACGGGGCTTGTCCCGCTTATCTGATAGACACGGGCTCTCCCCACAAGCCTTGCCCCATACAGAAATTAAACCTTCTCGCAGGTTAGCGTGCCTGCTAACAACTCGGAAAAACTGGTTTTTCTTCTCATCCCTCTCAGGTGTCTGGGTAATTATCACAAAATAACCTCTGCTGTTAGTGCTCGGGGTGCTGCCCCACTCCATTAAACTCTTTTGTGAGCTGCTCTCAAAAGCAACAGGAGTAAAATAATGTCCTCCAAGGAAGACAATGGGACCACAAAGTAGTAGTTTCCTGGTGAAAAACTACAACTTTTTGTTAGCTAAAGGCAAGCCTGCACATCAGAGTATCTAGGTCTACGGGATAGAAAACACTTCCTTAAGAAAAACTGCAAGATCTGGTAATTTTAGAGCGAGCCGCTTAACAGCTGTGTGGTAGAAGTGCTTCCCCTCTTATCTTTAGCATTTCTAATTTCAAATGCAAGTTTCTCAAACTTTAGAAAATGCAAAAATAAATTACTTGAGGTTAACTGCTAACAAAGTTGATCTGGACATCTTTAAGTCAAAATTGTGTAAAAAACAAAATCTACATATATCACTGTTACGGACAGGAATATAGACAGTGTTTAAAATTGTCCTTATATGCATATGTTTCTAAGCTATTAGAATACAGGGGTTATTTTTTTCAAAATTAGACATCACCGTAAAGTTACACAGGTATTTAAAAGGTAAAAATATCAAGTAGTAGCTGTTGCTTCCTCACATTTAAATAATGGTGCCAAAAAAACCAAACAAAATGAAACTGCATTTTGGATCCAAGGCACTCAGCTGTCACAGACCTATAACTACCACTCCTACTATCACCACTACTACAAGTACTTTTACCTCAGACCAGTGTACAGAAGTAGGAATCAGTTTGGAGAAAATGTACACTGGGGTACCAGACGTTATACTATCCAAATGGGTTTACCTCTTTTTTGTAAAGCTTGTGATTATTACAGCTCAGGCCTCAACTACTGAAAAAATAAGCTACTTGCAAAGGCTCTTGGGATTTCATGCTGATAAGATGTACAGTGCTGTTAAAGTAAAAATTCACTCTGCCCAACTTAGGAAAGGAAAACGCAAGTAGTTAGAACTAAATTACAACAAAGGCAGCATAGATTTATATGTCTAATATCTAAAAACCAGACAGTTTTAGCAGGGAATCCTGAGCTCTTTTGATGCATTTCTGGCTTCAGAAAAAAAAAGTAGAAAAAACGCTGCAAGTACAAATGCTAATCATGCTCTCTGTAAAAACGTGAAGTTCAAAAGTGCTGTGCAGAACTCTGTTTTGAGGTCGAGTGCCTCCTCTTGCTTCCTCCAAAGCCCTTTCGGAGCCGAGCTCTTTACGTGGCGGCTGGGCGCCGTTTCAGCAGTACTTCCCTTCCCGAGCGCGCGCGGCCGAGCGGGTGCTTGGTTGGGTGACAACTTGTTTAATCACGCCTCTGTATTGCATGAGCAATGTCCCTGCGGCCTCACCCCCGTAAAGGGAAGCTGCTCCRAGATTATGAAACTGCCCCGAAGAAAAATCACTGCTCGAGATGCAGAACAAGCAGAGGAAGACGCCAATGGTGGCTGCCTTGCGAATTAGGCCTCCCTGCGGTCAGAAGTCTTTGGACTCTGGTTTCCTCATCTGCAAAGTCCAGGCACTGCCCTTTTATCACAAAAGCAGTGCAAATGTAGTTAATGTAGCAGCAAAATCTCCTCACAGCAGTTTCACAGAGCTCTGTKCATTAGGACATACTGTGAAGTTGCACATAAGCACACAGGGTAGCTCCAAAATTGGACTAATACATGACTGCCAACCTCCAAATCAAGATGATTTTATGACCAAGTACAAGCATCTATGAGACAGATGTCAGGATTAACCATGCTTTGCTGTAGTAATTTGGCAATCAACTGGGACAATTCTCCAGAACTATATGATAGAGCCTCTGTTCAAGAGTCACTTAGAGAAACATTTAGAAGACAAACTGTTGGGAGCAAACATCTTGTCTGTAGGAATCAAATTAAACAGTTGGTATTTTAACGAATATTTTTCTGTTCGGTATTTTAGCTACTGCAATGCATGGAACATACCATAATGCAGTATCTCAGTGGCTGCATACATTCCACACTGAGAAAAATAAAACAAACCTCGCTGCTATCTAAAGGGAGTGTCTGCTTTAAAAAGCCCTGCTCAGATAATCCCCTGAGCTTCAAATCTGACTTTTGAACCTATTTAGAAACCTCCCAGGGTCAAGGGAGCTCTAGGATACGTGCACACGTACACACGTGCATGTTAGGGCTGATTCAATATTTAAGGGAGTTCATTAAAAAGGGCATATTTGACTTTATACTGCTTTTATATTTGACTTGAAATTTGATTTTCTGGCTTTCTTTGGAATAGAACACAAGATGAAATTAGCTTCATTTAACATAAGTGTCTTTTTTGAAACTTCAGGGAAGCTAGAAACCCTGGCCTTGAATCAATATCCAAATTTCAAGTACCTTCATTCCTTAAAATGCAAAGACTGAAAAAGAACGCAAAGATACAAACAGGCTGTAGTGGACCAGAGTCCAAACACTCACTTAACATCCAAACACAGCATCGTGAGGAGTCCGCAACATTCGGAGAATTTTTCTTCCATGGACAGGAACTTAAGGAAAAAATTTCTTACCAGTGAGGGTGTCAGAGCCCTGGCACAGGCTGCCCAGGGAGGCTGTGGAGTCTCCTTCTCTGGAGATCTTCCAAACCCGCCTGGATGCCACCCTGTGCCCCGTGCTCTGGGTGTCCCTGCTGGAGCAGGGGGTTACACAAGAGGATCTTCAAAGGTCACTTCCAACCTCAACCAGTCTGTGATTCTGTGACTTTCCCCGTCTCCCTTGGCACTTTGCAAACATCCAATATCTGAAACATTCTCCAGCAAGAAGTTCAAGTTCTGTGGAAAAAAACCCTCCCTAACCTCTCCTGTTTGAGATCTACTAGTTCCATTAGCACCCCCCACTTGCTTTAGGGAGAGCAAAGGGGCTTTTGATTGTCATTCAGATTGTCCCTGTCATGCATGATTATATCTGCCTCTCATCTCTAGCAAATTACAGAATTTTTATTTTCATTTACAACTTTAGCTGAAGATGTTTTCTGAAATGTATAAAGAACATGGGTAAAATCCTAGTGAATCCAATGGGGTTTGTACTGATAATTTTGAAAATGACAGTTAAGGTTAATACATTGCATGATTTATCCTTCAAAATGCTTTCTGGGAGCTTTACTGAATGTAATTCTGACATCACTAAATACATTTTATTCATGTCTTTCCAGCAGCAATTATATTTTAAGGTTCAGATCCCTGGGTAGACCTGCAAATCCTGATGAGCACCGTTTTTTGCCAGACTCTTATATGTGTTACACCTCAGGGAAGATGCAAAGGGGACATATTTCAAAACATAAGACAAAATGTGAATTTAAAAAAAAAATGAAATAATAAATAGTTATAAATATCTGGGCTGAATTAGCTATTCAATTATCAAAGTACTGAAAAGAAGTTGACAATTACTGAAATAGAGTATTTTCAGAGCTGATTCAATCAAATTATGAATGAAAATTTAGATTTTAGGATAGAAAATTTAGTCCCATGTGTGCAGTTCAGCGTTTTATGGAAGCAACTAGGTAGTTTTATTTTGTACAGATATTACACTGTCTCCATTGATAAGCTTGTTCTACTCCTCCTTCAGCCCCAAATCTACCTGCAGCCTTTCACCCTTTTCATTTCCCTCTCACACCCCAGTTCCTGCTATACCACTGCTTGCAAAACATGGCCACGTTTTCCTGTCAGGAAATTGACTTGCCATAAAGTTAGAAGATAGAAAATAAAACAAAGAAAAAAAAAATCACACCCCCCTGCATACATGTTTAGTATATAGCCTAGTATTATTTTTAGAAAAATAGAAATTCAGAAACTGATAGTTTATTTTTTAGAAAAAAATAAAGTTTAGTTTAACAAATTTATAAAATTAAGTTTTAAAATAATATTTTTTTATTAGAAATGCAGTGCACAGTCAGCTCTAGTTACAAGGAAGCTAAAAGCAGACTAGCACTAAGGTAAGATAAGGGTAAGATAATGTTCCACAGTTTAAACATGAAAATCAAGCTATAGCTAATAATCAAGTCATCTAACTATATATTCCTAGCATTTCATGAAATGACAATTCTTTAAAATAGTAATTTCCCACATGCTTCACTTTAAGCCCCCCTATCTCCACCTTTTTTAAAGAGCTGCTACTGCAAAGAGAAAAGAAACCTATAAATGACAGTCCTCACTACTGGAAGCATCAGAAATCAATTCCATTAGCTTGGGAATACAAGACCAAGTTTATTTCACACAAAAATAGCTACAGCTATGCTAACTCTTCTTCTTTTCAGATAAATCCTAGGACATTCTTTATGAAAGAAACTCAATTGCACATATTACTTGCATAATTTTACAGGAGTGTGAAGACCTGCTATATTAAACCTA